GGGCACAGAAGGAAACGCTGGGGTGCCAGTGGGTGCGTGGCGGGGAGGGCAGAGGTGTCCTCCTCTGCAGCCTCGGCCCACATGACAACATGACAAGTACTGACACACTAGTGAAAGACAGCAAGGCGGTCCCAATGGAGGGGCAGAGGGTGACACACTCTGGAAAAGAGCCCACGATCAGGGACATGTGCCGTTACAGCCCAGAGGCCATCAGCCCGAGGTGGTGAGGCCCCTCTAAGACCAAGGACGACACCCCGCAGGCTGAGATGTGTACCCTGCCGAACAGGAAATAATGTAAGAACACACACGTGAGTGCGCTGTGTGGGTATCTCCCAGAAACACTCCCACATTTACTAAGCGTAACTAAACTTAGATTCAGACGGCACCTGGCTCAGAACGCGGAGCACTCCCCCGCGGCCAAGCCGTCCTGACCCACACTCGAAGCCGGCGGCAGGCGCTGAGCGCGCTCCAGGCCGCTCTTGACATCGCCCCTTTTAGCGACCAGCGTCTGTCCTGTCCGTTTCTAGCATCGGCCCCCTGTTCAGGTTCCGCCTGCTCTTCGTTGGCAGCTGCCTTTGGCCTTCACCTGGTCAGACACAACAGGAGACCAAGCTTCATGCTGCCTCAGGCTGCTGGCCCTTCACAAGCGAGAGGGGCCCAGATCGCCGCTGGGGGGCCCTTCCTCGAGGAGACTGTCTCATTCCCTAACAAATCGGAACCATTCACAGAGATTAGACAGAACCACCCCAAATGGGGTAAGAAGGTCACAGTGATGCCAAGGCAACAACAGTTCAAACTGTTCCAGGCCTGCTCCTCCTAACCCTGGTTCCAATTCCTGCAGCCTAAACGACTAATTTGATTAGGTGACTAGTAAGTTCTATAAGAGAAAACACTACAAGCCAACTCAGAAGATCATGAACCACATGGAACAGGCCCTGACCTCACGAACACAGGCAGCGCCAGGAGTGGGCGAGTGCGGTGAGCTCCGAGAGCCGGGCACAGGTGACCCATCCACAGAGGGCGCGCGGAGACGCTCGACCTCACACAGCGGAGCCCGGACCCGTGCTGCACGCAGATGCCAGCACCGCCTGTCACCCGAAGCCCCGAGGGTCTGGCGCCTGCCGCTGTCAGCAAACCTATGAAGCCAGGGGTTCGTGAGCCTTGCTGCTGGGCGGGCGGATCCCACAGCCCTGTGGTGGCACCTCAGCGGCACCTACAGAAGCCAGAAGCACCTCTCGGCGCCACAGCCGGCTCCGCCTAACCAAGTGCACGTCGTGGCATTCACTCTGCACGGAACACGCGCACGACCAAGCTCACCAGAGGCTTTCACCACCGTCGTCCCACGGCCAACCCAGGAAACGACCCCGACGCCAACTGCCAGGGGACCAGGTCTGCCATCAGCTGCTGCTCACAGGGGGCCTGCCGCCCGGAGACCTGGGCCTGGGGCGGGGAGGTGGGGGGGCTCCTGCAGTCGGGGCACATGGCCTGAACCCTGACCTGGGAAGTCCTGGGCCACTGAGATGTTCCTGGAACCTGCTGGTTGGCAGGCGCTGGGCACACGAGAGAGCGGATCTGCCCCCGTGGGGCCGGCGCTGGGACTGGGGATGCAGCACCTGCGCTAACAGCGGGGCCACAATGACACAGTCACACTCGGTAGTATGTGCATAAAAACACCTGCCAAAACGTCCCAGAATCTAGTCACGGGATGCCTGAGGACAGAACTGGCACAAGAATTTTTGTTGTAATTTTTTTAATACTTTTGAACAGGTAGTCTCACACAAAGAAAATTCTGAATTGACCAGCGCAGCCGAGCAGCCTGCCCATGTGACTCTGTCCTAGAGCAGCCAGCCATGAGATCTCCCTCCAACATGTCCCCAGAAGGCCCACCATGCTCCACACCCTGAGCACAAATCGCAGCAGCTGTATTAGCCCGGGGCCGAGCATCACGTGTAAGGCGCACCCGGGGGCCTGGAAGGTTCCTGCAGTGGGCAGAGGGCAGCCAACACGGCCGCTAGCTCGACAGTGCAAATTCGGTCAGCTGTCATGCAGCAGCACGCAGTCGTGACTTCGACAACATCATGATGTGCTCCCCTCAAAAGACAATGGAACAAGCAGGGCTGGGGGCTGGGGGCTGGGGGCTGGGGAAGTCCCCGTTTCAAGATTCCCGAAACCACAGGGGGAGTTGACGATGTGTAGACAACCGCTGAAGGACACGGGGCTATTTGTATCTAGTCCGGATAAGCTGGGGGCTGGGGGCAAGGGGCTGGGCAGCAATCCAAGCTCAGGAGACCTTCCGCACCGGCAGAATGAGAGGTCGGACGAACTGTGTGGAGTTCAATTTCCCAGCATTGAAATCCTCCGATTCAGTGAAATGCCAAGTTCACGACCAGTCCCGACTGACGTCAGCAATCACACAGACACTGGTATCACAGTCCCCAGCCCCACGGATCCACTGCGGACAGCAAGCAGAGTGGACGAGGCAGAGACCTGCTCACGCCTCCAGTGCTTAGGACAAAAGCTTCGTTTTGATGAGCTCTTCCTTTAGACTCACCAGCAACGCGATAAAAGGCGGCACATCAAGTAAGGTCACGCGAACATAAAGTGCTCCCGCCTTCTTTGTCTCCCATTCCCCGTGGAGACAAGTTCACGGCCACAGAAACTGGTGGGAAGGAGGGAAGCAGAGGCGAGGCCGGAGGAGAGGCCGGAACCCCCGTTACACTCGGTGCCTCCTCCGCCACCCTGCGCACACGGCCACCTACGGCCCGGAGCAACCGTGAGCTGCTGCACTCTCTGCCACTGTCACAACGACACCCAATAGGTGCCAGGGACAAAAACCAAAAATAAACACTGCTGGCAGGTAGCTGTGACAGGTACCGCAGGGGACAGCTACAAAGGAGCTAATCCGGAAAGAAAGTGGCAATGCAGAAAAACCCTTAGACCAGCAAAAGCCAAGAGATGCCGAACGAATTGCTCCCCCACCCCAGTGCTGAGGGAGGCAGGACTGCGACGGGTCACTCAGACGGCGAGGCCGTGAACTTCCCGAGAGAGGCTGCGGCACAGCGAGGGCGCCGTGGGACAACACGGACCAAGGGGAACGAACGAGGCAAGCTGAGCTGCGGAGAGGAAGCGAGGTCCGCGGTTGCCACAGAGACGCCAGCGCTCACTCAGTCAACACCAGGGGGAGGTGCCTCCTTCAACCCCGGAGTCACAAACACAGGCTCACCGCACGCCACCAGGACAAGCTACCGCCCGCTGGCCCCTGCCAATGCCCCCGCTGGGCCCCAGGGTGCCAGCTCGGGAGCAGCCAGCCTCTACGCAGGAGCGAGCAGGCCCGGCTCCGGGGGGAAGCGGCCCCACGAGCCCAGTGATTACACGTGCACCTGAGACGCGTGCGGGGGTCTGTCCCTGAGTGCGATGAGACTAAAGGTGGCACCCCAATCGCCAGCGTGCGTACGTGAGACGCCGTGTTCACTGGGCACTTCCCTGGGCGGCTATGGCATGTACCACGAGCTGTCAGGCGACCTAAGTCCCCTGAGTCGGAGAAGGGAACGGGCTTCGGGCTGAGCTGACACTGCCCTTCAGAGGCCACTCCTCAGGCTCCCGGCGCACTTGGAGGACACACACCGGACCAGGAAGCTGCAACTCCTCCAGCCTCGTGATGCAGCGAGGTCACCAACACCTCCCCCGATTTACTCACCTACACAAAAGGCGACCCGACCGGAGACGGAATGGAAGACCACGGCCGACCTCAGCAACTCTAGAAGGGGCTGGCAGAGCAGACCAGCAGGAAGGCGGCGGGCGCCCACCACAGTCCACCAGGACCAGCGAGGACAAGCCCTGTTACCTGGTCGGCCTGGTACTGGAGCGCAGCCACGAGACAGGCCTGGGCGGCCTCAGGATGAGTGAGGGAGGGAGGGCAGGAGTGAGCTGAGCTGCAACGCTGCTCCAGCCGCCAGCGGCCCCACGGCTCCTGCCCGGGCCCACACGGAGCCACGACGGCTCAGGAATCTGTCCCTCGAGCCGCAGAACGAGCAGGTTCACTGGACACGAGTGGCGCTATGGCTGCGGGATCCAGCGAGACTCCTGCCTCCAGGGCAGCCCGGGAGCCATGAGGGACCTGCAGTTGGGGCCTCGGGCTCGGGGGTGGGGGGGCCCCAGCCTGGATGCGCACATATGTCCAGACCAGCAGGGGTGCTGCCACGCCACCCAGTGGCCGTTCCAGAAAACATGCGTGCCGCTCAGCATGCACCTCCCAGCTCCGGGCTTGGTCCACAGGAACCAGCGGCGCTTGCTTACGGAGGTGGGTGGGGCGGGGGCAGGCCCCATGTGCACTTGGCTGTCACCCACTGGCTTTGTGGGGCCATCACGCTGTCCTGGCCAAGCCTGGGGCGCACGCGGCGCCTCCACGTCAGACTGGACAGTGAGCACCTTCTGGCGGCCGGGCGTCTCACCTGTCAAGCATGGACGGCCTGCCTCACACTGCAGGCTGCGGGGCCCCCGGACCAAACGAGGGTGCCAGGTCTGGCGCACTGCTGGGAACCATCCCGTTCCACACACAACATGAGGGCTTTGCTCTTCAAAGTGCAGCCCGCTGTTCCCAGCCCCTGTGGTCACGTCACTCTCGGAGAGTCCCCGGTACACGGCTGTCTCCCACTAAAGGTTGGGTCCCGCTCGGTGAGGCTCCGGGCATGGGAGAACCCCACTCAGGCCGTGAACGTGACGGCCGGGACGCGGCTTCTGTGCGAAGCAGGGCTGGGGTCCCCGTGCCCTGCACGCTGCGGGACCTCGCCCGCCCTCTGTGCGGCTGCCCTGCTCTCTGGCGTGCCTTCCGCAGTGGCTGAGGACCACGCACGACATGAAAATGCTCCAGTTAAAAGTGAAGCCCCAGCACAGCACGGGCCGACAGGTGGGGGGACTGCAGAGCAGCAGCACTGTGGTCTGTGGCCGGGCAGACACCCATGCCCCAGGGACGAGTGGGCGGCCAGAGGGCCCCTGGTTACCTGCCTGCCCTTCACCACGTGCCCGGGCACCGGCACCTTGAGCTCCAGGTCGGTGTAGTCCTGGGACCAGGCGTAGTTCTCACGCACAGCGCCGTTATAGCTGTCGGGGTCCCTCTGGAACTGCTCCTGTCCCCTGGGAGAGAGCCAGAAGTCAGAGGACAGCCCCGCACACGGCACGCGTGCATCATCCTGCGGTCCTGGACAAGCACTGCCCAAGTCCTATCTGCCCCCACACCCCAAACTCCAGTCCCGGACCCTCTCAGGCCTGCGAGAAGCCGCAGGGGCTGAGGGCTGCACAGACGGCCCGAGGGCAGGTCCTCGTGATGGGAAAGCATCACCACCACAGGGCACAGTGTGGCCTAGCCCCGGGTACGCGGGAGCTGAGAAGCCAGGCCAGTCCACTAAACAAAGGGCCGGGCTGACACATCCAGCTCGTGGGCCTGCAGCTGCTCCGCGTCCACTGGACCCCAGTCGCCTGTCTGGCCCACTCCGTGAGAAAAGTCCCTACACTCACCACAGGCTGTCACCGGGGGAGGGGACCCATCAGCCAGACCAACTGCACACACGAGGCAGCCAGCACGGCACGGACAGGCCTGGCGGAAAGGGGACGTGGGAAGTAGCACGCGACGGCACACTTGCCGGAGCAGACGGCAGCGTGGACAGCGCTGCGACCACCACCAAGAAGCAAGTCTGGAAGAGCCTTGGCTCTGACGGAGACAGGCCAGGGAGAAACGAGTCCAGGAGAGCCTCGGCTCTGGGGGGCACAGGCCAGGCGCGGGGGGCCCAGCCGCAGGGAGCCCAGCAGACACGCCTGCAGGGAGGACCCAACCGGGTCCCACCCGTGGGGATGCAGGCACTGCACGCCCACCCCCTGGTCAGGGCAGGGTCGGGAGGATGGCGGTTCAGGACAAGGGCACGCTCGCTCCCTGGGTACGCCCTGCACACTTGGTCTCGTGAGGCCGGGCCCCCAGCAGCTCAGCTCTCTGGGTGGTAACTGAGGCCGTTCTGGGCTGAACTATCCCTGAATCTACATGCTGGAGTCCCAGCCCCCAGCACCTCAGAATGAGCCTTTTCTGGAGATGGGTCTTCAGAGGTGACAGCCCCAACGAGGTCATGTGGGTGGGCCCTAATCCGTGACTGTGTCCTTAACCGGGGTGGGGGGGCGGGGGAGGGATGCAATCTGGACATGGAGACGCCCCCAACAAAGGGATGACAATGTGAAGACACTCAGGGAGGAGATGGCCGCACAGCCACAAGCTGAGGAGGGCTGAGGCTAGGAGGCTTGTCCCAGGGCCCTAGCGGGCACTGCGATAACCTGACCCACACAGCCACAAGCTGAGGAGGGCCGAGGCTAGGCTTGGCCCAGGGCCCTAGCGGGCACTGCGATAACCTGACCCTGACCTTCGCCTCCAGAGCACCAGGAGGAAGGTCTCTGCTGAGCGGGTGGCACTCTGCAGCTTAGCGCGGTGGTAGACAAATTTCACACCCATTGTCGGCAGGGGGCACCGACCCATCGGAACATGGGCCGGCCAGGCGGGGTGGTGGGCCGGTGGGGCAAGCGCCCAGACAGCAGGCAGAGCCTGACGCCGTGAAGGCCTGGACACGGCAGTCAGAGACAGCCTGACGAGGGCTCCTGTCCGCCAGGGCTGTGTGTGGTGACGCGAGGGAGCTGGAGAGGACACAGTGCTTGTGCAAGGTAGGTTCCACTTCCTAGAGCACGCACACGCACACGCGCACGCACGCCAGGAGGCCCGGTGGCTTCTCTGGGTAGTAGGATGACAAGCAGTGTGACTTTCTTTGTCATATCTTTAGAAATTATCCAAACTCTCAACAACTAGCAAGAAAAAATGGCTCTAAGTCCTGTATACAGGAGACAGTGACCCCACCCTATGGCCCCAGTACCACGCGGATCAAGTCCAGGGGTCCCCCACACCCTGGGAGACAGGCACAGCAGGCTGGTGGCCAAGCTTCGCCCCGTCCGCATCCCTCCCCACCCAGCTCACACCTGCAGACAGTGTGCCTGAAGATGCAGAGAACACCCCAAGGAGACCAAGAGACAGGAAAGAGCAGAAGGCGCATGCTCTCAACAGACAGCCCTCAGCATGGCCATCTGCTTGAAAAAATCGAAGGCATGAATAGGCTCAGGCCTGCTCCCTCCCTCCACGGCCCTGCACAACCGGCTGGCCGTGGGAACCAGGATGTGGTCCTTAAGCCCCTCCCTGGGTTCCAGGAGCAGGGGTGCCCCCATGGAGTGCTGGCCACGTGCAGGCCGTGGAGCAGGGACAGGGGCCATGCCCGGCACAAGGACATGCTGCCTCCAGACACTCACGCACACCCCTGGGATTCGAGGCAGAGGCCAGCGTGAGTCCTCTGCCCACGGCTCCCGCCACCGGCAGACTTGCCGTGCTTGTCCCTAGTGATGGAGCAGGGCTTACACGTACGTGAGCACACGTGTGAGTATGTGCACGTGCGTGTACTGCGTACAGGGCAGGTAACAGACATCCCCCTTCACAGCATGTCCATCCCTTAGCACCCCCTCTTCTCGCTGACGCCCCCACATCCCACACCTCCACAGGAGCCACAGACGATGGACGCCTGGTGACTTCCCTCCGGGCATCCGCGCTTGCGAGCTCCGGATGTGAGCGCTGCCACGACGCCTCCCTCCCAGGAGGCCCGGCCCGCTGCTCTCCTGGAAGCAGGTCCACGGCACCGCTCAGCACTGCGCCGAGACTGGCAGTGCCCGGACGCCTGGCCACTGTGACATCTGGGAAGGCCACGTCACACCTCACCCCCGCCGCTCAGAAAGGGAAGGCTCGCAACTCCATCGTAAACTTAACACATGAAATGGTTCGCAGGAACCGCAATTTCAGGAAAGCCAAGTTCCTCTATAAGGGTGCCAGATAAATGAAAATCACGTTCATAGTCACAACAGGGACACGAGAATGTGCGGCCCCGCTCGATGGCAAGGGGACACGAGAACGCTGTGGAAGGGGTGCTGGGCCTTTCCTGGGCCCAGGGAGAGAAAGTGCGGACGAGGCAAGGTTGACAGGCAAGCCCCAGGCCGCCACCCTCCTGCCTACAAAGCGAACTGGTTGCTGACATGGCCGCTGTCAATCACAGCCCACTGGGGAAATGCACACCCAGCCCAACAAGAAAGGGGCCGAGAGTCAGCCGCCAGTGCCGGGCTGCCCGGGCCATGAGCATGAGCGGCTTGGGAGGGAGGCACCTGAGCAGTGAGTGTGGACAGTTCACGGGCGCAGGGCGCGCGGTGCTGGCCTTCTAGCTCCACCCACGGCGTGGTGCCGACGGCCTCGGGGTTCTGGCTGTGTCACCCAATGTACCCTCCTGCAGAGAGCGGCTCTGGCAGGGCTTCCAGCACAGGAGCCGCCCGATCGGCGGAAGCCAGGCCCTGCGTCCTTGGCACGGGCCTGCCCTGTCCCAGTAAGTGTGTCACCCATGTCGTCACCGAGGACTCGCCTGCCCCAGGCCCGGCTGCGCAGTGTCCACCCGCACCTCACGCCCTCAAATCCAGCTTATCGGTACCACAGGGGTCATAACCTCTTGCTCGGGGAGCTAAGAGACTGACAGTGGGTGACAGCCCAGCAGCCACCCAGAGCTCACGCAGTCCACCCTCAGCCTCAATGTGTACAGGCAGCTGGCCTGTCATTCGGGCCCAGCCGTGACCTCTGGGCACCACCCGCATGACCCCGCGTGTGCATGGTCACTGACAAAATGCTTCACGGACACACTGGGGGCCCTGGTCAGAGTCAGCACGGCCTGACAGCAAATCAGCTGGAAGAGACGCCGCCCCAGGACAGAGCCAAAGCGACAAGCAGTGACAACACACCACAGGGCGCTAACGCCAGCTGGGCTCCAGTCTCTGCAGACGGTACTTTCTGTTCTCACCAGCTCCAGGCTGCCAGGGGTGTGAGCTGTGACATAAGACAAGCCGAGAGAGACTCCTCCTGTTTGCAGTCTCTGCGTCAGCCCCCAAGGCCCTCCCTCACAGCCCCTCTGCACAGAACTGAGCCAAGACCCCCTCAGCCAGTGTGAGCGAAGGAGAGGGGCCAGTGATGACGCCAGAAGCCAGAAGCAAGGCCACTGTGAGTGCCCCTGTGCCAGGCCCACCCGCCAGCCACAAACACAGCCTGGCCACGCCCTCAGCCCAGCGGCCGAGATAGAGGACACCGAGGAGAAGGAAAGCCTAGCAGCCACAGCGGACAGCTGACACGGCAGCTCCGGGGGCACTGCCCTAATCCACGACATGTGTGGTGAACAGGTGACTACGGGGACCGCCGACAGCCAAGAGCAGCCGTGCTCACACTGGCAGCTGGGCAGGCGGGCTCCCTGAGGCTTTCCATGAGAACAGAGGACACGGGTGGTGTCCATCACTGAGACAGGAATCTTCCGGAACGCGTGCGCACATAGAGACTGAGAGAAACGAGTGCTACCTCTATGTCCTTGAGGGCCATTCGAGTAGCTCGGTCAAAGCTCTGGCTACCATGTGCTCACGAACACCCCATGAACTGCTGTATAAGCGCACACAAAAAGCCGCATTTCAGGGCGCTCGCCAGTGACTGAACAAATGCAGCCCTCCTGCGCCAACGGCAGGCCCGCTGTGTAACTGACCTGCAACAGATGGACACGCACTGACTCCTGAAGCCCCCGCGGACCGTGTCCGGACAGATTCCCAAATAGAGACCGCCGATCAACCACAGCGCTTCTCGGGGTCACCCCACCTCCCTGACCCCACGGGCAGCTCTCCAGGGCTCCGGGGATAGGCGACGCGGGCTGGGCACCACCCGCCCTCACCCCCACTCCCCGCAGACGTCAGGCAGGGGCACGCCTGTTTCACATCATCCGAGCCCACAACCAAGTTCAATTTCAGGTCGAAACCCCATCTTTCTGCCTGGTCTGTGTGTGCTGTGAACTGCCCAGGCACACACTGTCTGTGAATGTGTGTGACGCTGGGCTCTATGAAAAGGGAAGCACCTTTCCGAAAGCTGATGACCGGTGCAGCTATGCTGGGGTGACCTGCGTGGCAGCCTTCACCTCAGGGTGGTGAAGGGCAGGATCACCGCGTTCTCCTTATAAAACGGGGCACTGGTCTGGCAGGGCTGGCGAGGCAGTTTA